GGAAAAACCAAATAACATTTATCCTGCATTAAATTTGGAACAGTCCATTTTATAAAAAAGTTAATTAATTGTTAATATCACAGAATCAAAATAATAAAACAGAATGAGTTGTCAATGGATGTGCAGGCTGGCCCGATTCTATACTGGTGGCAAATACTAAGCGTTTCCGATTCCCACAGGTTCAGTGTTAAAGGGTGTGAAAATTTATTTTTGCAACTGGCAAAATACATCTTGACATAAAATTTCCATGAACTAAAACAACTAGGATTTTTTACACCATTGTGTTTATTTGTTTATAAAAGTGTCTTATTTAACACAAATGAATGCTATGTTTTTACAGAGTAAAATGTTGGGGGGTTTATTTTGGTGTTTTTTGTTTGTTTTTTTTCAGAAATATTTATTAGATACTTTATGAGAATTTAGTGATTTTTCAGGGCATTTGCCTTTGCATGGAAATCTGAAAAAAAACTATTTTGACAAAAGTACTTTGGTATGATTCTTCAAACAGTAATTCTGCCATTTACTGACTACCTTATACAGCTCTTTACCCCTAAGGTTAAATAAAATAACCACAATTTTAATGATAACTTAGAATAATGTGAGGAAAAGTAGCACAAAAAACAGCTATGGTAAAGGTTGAAGCAGCATATTTAAAATTGGCTGTCGCTATGATTATTTGTGATGTGTCATGTCCAGCAGGCATTCAAACAAAAAGTTCAGCAGTCTCTTTAAGATTGTAATTGTGCTTATTATATGAAGACAAGGTGATAATTTCGAGATATCTAATAATCAAAGAAAAGTGTCCATTGCACGTTTACCTTTTCCCTGCCCCGAAGATGTATCATTGATTTATCTGGCTTTTGATTAAGAACTGTCCATTATCTGTTAAAAGGGATTTCAGGATATGAATATTGATATTAAAATGGATCAGCCCAACAGTATAGATGTTTGTTACATTTAATGGTGTGCGTCCTACAGGCTTGCGCTGGTTCTTTACTGGTAGCAGGGGTTTGTAAGTGGCTGCAAGGGCTTGTAATTCTTATTCATCACATCCCCATGCCACTTTAGTGACATTACATAGCCTTGCATATATTTTGATGTGACGTCATTTGAATTATACAAACATAGTGTAAAGATGGTGCTAAATGTTAGCTTTATACAATAGGCACGTAAATGAAAAATGTTTCTTTTTCACTTAAAACAGTATTTTAGTTTGGGTATGTGATAAATATAATATTATATTCGTGTAGGTCCATTACTGAATTTATTGAACTTGTTCAATAATTTCAGTTATTGAACTTATACTCATTCAATAACCTCTATGTATTGCAGCTTGCAGATGCTCTTGCCTATATGGAGAAGGAAAAGTTTATACATCGGAACCTTGGGGCACGAAATGTCATAGTGGGTGAACAAAACAAGGTGAAGATAGCAGGCTTTGGTATGACCAAGTGTGCGGACGATCCAGATTTTAATTTTAGAAGAGGTAAAAACAATTGTTATAGAATTTTCAGAATTTTGCCATACTATGTTGTATTATAAATACACAAGAAAAAGATAGTTATGTTTGCTACCTTACACTAAGAATCTAATGACATCCAACTACTTAGCTTATTATGGTGAGCATTGGGTTTGTAATCCAGTGGTCGTTGGTTGGATCCTCAAGCAAGCAAAAATTTCCCAGTGATAGTGGTCATTTGTCTGTATACACTGATTTCAGAAATTTGTTAACTCCCTTTGATATGAAGTTACTTCCCTTTGTTTATGAAATTGGAGATGTGCGTTAATTCCCTTAGTATGGCAGATAATTCTTATTTTATTTATTTTATAGAGAGTGAAGAAGTGGATAGATTTCATAAAGCGATAGTGTTTGTAAAACTGGCAGATATAATTTGACAGACTAATGAAAATTTTACAAGGAAATAAAAAAAATTGTCATTGAAGTTTTAAGTTTATCAAAAATGGTGCTAGGTTTCACAGCTGTATATAAGTTTTACTGTACATTTCAGGTTTAAAAATGGCAATCAAATGGATGGCCCCAGAGGTGTTACTGTATAACAAATATAGCACAAAGGCCGACGTGTGGTCATTTGGTATTTTAATGATGGAAGTATTTATGCATGGGAAAGAACCTTATGAAGGTATGTTATGATATGAAATAATGTCTACCTCAATCACCAGTGCTTATAACATCTGTGCCAAACAAATTATATGTTAATAAAATTTAGATTTTTGCTCTTTTCTAACATTGTGAAATATAGTTGTGATTTAGGGAAAACCACTTAGGAAAAACCACTTTGAATTTTAAAATGATATTTGTTCTATAGATAGGAGTGGAGATTCAAACCAGGGTTAACCTTGATCTAAGACATTAAGAATTTTAACCAACCTCTTCCCTAGTTGAAGTTCAGCATGTCAAGTGTCTGCTTTGTTTAGGCTGATCTGTTTGACTGGTGTATGCTAAATTACACATCTTTCAATGTAACATAAATTATGCAGGGTTAAATTGTTCATTTTCTATTCAATTTAAGAAGCATGGTAAATGGCAGAGGCTATCTAAAGGGGCAGCTTTCTGTCTTGCAGTCAATTAAATTTATCAACTAACTGATATAAGTCAGCTGCTATTGTTGATAAGTCATGTTTCTGGTGAAAAATGTGCACAGGGCATTTCAGGGGAAAATATAGCATATTTAGGGGAAAATCTACCTATTTTTATAGCTGGAAACAGCCATATTCAGCTGTATAATATAAGAGGAAAAAAATCACTGACCTGAGATAAATTTTAAACTGATATAACAAAGCTACACTGGTTGCACAGATATACTTAGTTGCCTCCAACAGGCATAGGGTTTTAAAAGAATTAACTGCATTCCTACCTTCTGTTTTGGTCAGAGAACCAGAACAGAACTTTGACATTTGTTTGGCCTAATTTACCATATTATCCAGCGAGCCAACTTCTTATCTTTTCCTGGCAAAAACCATGCAGCAGTCTCATACATATTTAATTCATGATTGGAGGTTGTTTCCCCCCCCCCCCTCTCATTGTACACATTAGCTGTAGTCTGATTGATCTGTGTTTTTTACTTGATAACATACGATAGTGTATGTACATTGGTTAGATAAATGTGTCATGGTAAATTAAGCCCCATGCTGATTCATGTAGACTTCTGGTTTGACATTTTTTCTCTTGGGAAGAGATTTAGCATCTTGTATTTGAACAGTATTCGTTTTGAAGTTTTTATATGGCCCAGTATATAGAGGATATTCAAGTTTTTTCTTTATTTTCATCAAGTGTTATGAAATAATATTTCGTGAGTGGGGTAAGCCAACAAGTGAACTATGATATTTTGGTGAGTTACTTTTTCTGGCTATAATCGAGGTGAACTGAGCTTCTGTCTTCACAATTCATTCAGGTAATCTGCCATCCTCCATTGTTTTCCATCTTTTACAACATTCCGCAACTTCCCACTCCTGCCTATCTTTAACTGATGCGCTATTACAAGGCTTTTGGCATTACTTTAACCACTTTCCGCATCACCCTGTTTCTTCTGCATGAACCTTGGGGCTTCCAAAGTCCATTTGCATTTGTCTCAGCACACGTTCGCACTAAAATGATTATGATATTCATCGTCTTGTATTTCGACATGGAACTTCGCACAAGTATTGTGCATCATCCAACTTCTTACATATGATGGACTTGCAATATGCAAGTTAACGCCTGGTTTTAAGATATATACTAGTATTTTCTCACCCTTATTATACCAACCCCAACTTTTGACCTCTGAGGTTCTACCAACCCTTCCGATCACTTGGAAAGATGCGTTTGTACTCCTTCATATTTTCCACAAAACCTGTTGGAGGCAGTTGTTCGTTATCAAGGAATAACATCACTTACAAAAGCATATGATGAGGAATTTTGATTTTCTCTCTAACGGTACCTACACCGCGATAAGCTCATGGATGCATAACACCGCACACAGTTCACCGCGTTCTCAAATACTGCTCTAGGTTATTCGAAATCTAATTGCTTTGGTGCTTCATCATTGAAATCTTGACCTATGATTCCATCTGCTGTAATATTACAGACAATACTGGATGATTACTTATTTGTTGTCTAGTTTATTTGAATGCTCTTACGCATAGAATTTGTTGATATTTGAACGCATCTGCACTTGTATACTTATTATTTTTTTTCTCACAGAAAGTGACTCAATACATAATCTTTATCAAAGGTGTTTTGGAAATTATGTAGCTGTGCTACCACTATCTAGTAGAAAATTTACTGTTGCCTTTCATTAATATAGATTTCACCTAATAACAGCCAGCATTTTCTGTGCCCAACTTGATAGCGACTCTACCTTTTAATGCATCAATAAGATTTTCTTTAGAACCCACAAGACCAAAATAGCTTAATAGATTCACAATTTTTTCGTTTTTAAATTCCATTCATTTATTCGTTACTGCTGATTTAGATGATTTATCTTCATCTTTTGTAAAGCAGGTCTTTTGCTATTCAATACGCCCGCCCCGACCTACAGGGGTGGGACGGCTCTCGTTTCCCGCCTGACTGTGCCACCTTCTGAGAAGAATCTCTGCATTACGCAATTACCTATTTGGGATCATGCCGAGCAAAGGTGATCGGTCCCCGCCTGCATCTATAACATTTTCTTGGCCATTCTTCTCTTCTCTGTGAGCCCTTTCTTACGATCTGTCGTATCTGGAGTAGAATCTCAAGGCCCGTTTAGTTCCCATCATCTGATCTTTCATTATTCCGACTTGCCATCTCGACCTATAGACGCCTTTCCATAATCCATTCTTCTTGTTTACTTCTCGTCTCAAACTTCAGTGCTTTCGACCTTGTCTAGAACAATTTCTTCTTCTCTCATATGTGACTTCATTCAATAGGTCTTCACTAGCGTTCAACGCCTTCAACTGCCTCTGCGATTGTTCTGCAGTCTTTGTCCATGACCTGCATTTCATCTCTACAGAGAGTGGCTTTAACAGAATTGCTGACAATGCAAGGTCTCTTTGGTGCTTCTTGTTCGCGGTTGCAGTATGCTTACTAGCGAGTAACCCTTAAAATCAGCTCCATAAGCTGCAATGACTCTCCACAAGTTTTAAGCGTGTTGAAACTTTGACCCCTATCTGTCTGCTGCCTGGCACTTTCCCAAACGGTTGCTCTCAAAAGTGCAGGTGCACAGATCGGAAGAAGCCTTATTGGTCTAATGTTATATAGTATAAAATGCTCTTGCTTGAGGCCTCGTGAGGACAGAGGCAGTTGAGAAGCTTCTTGAGTCATACTCCATTATCCACCTGTAGATCTTGGAAATGCGATATGTTAACTGGTGCTCTAAGTCATCTTCCCCACTAATATTTGCCGGTTTTACTGTTATTGCCGGCCTCCGTATCGTTCGACAACAGTGCTCGGATTCCTGATTGAATCCGTCAACATCATCATCTCTGTAAGAACTTGTCTGAAGGTGAGTCACCTACATTCGCGAATGTCTCCTGGGTCCCATATTACACTCAACTTCGAGTCTGATCGCGCTTGTTACTTATGTCAACGTAGTATGGTAAATTCCATATCACGCACCCAACTGTACGCGGCAGTTGGAAAAATTAATAATGTAAATGGCTTATAAAACCTGCACAGAGGGATTTACTTTGATGTAGAAGTTAGAGTGCGTAAGTCTTAAAAACGCTAAATATCACAGGGCCACAATATACTTTAGATGCTTTGATATATTTCAGTTATTTTTGCGCTATTTTGATATTTTGTTAAATCTTAATAAAAATGTCAGCAGACAGTAGTTCTAGATTACTAGTAGAAACTAATATCCACTTCTGACAGTCCACGTGTAAGCGAAAGGTAAGTATTAGTGGGTAATGTTAGTAGACCACAAGCGTTTTTAACAATGGCAGGTTAGGTAGATTTGACTACATGTATGTCGGATGGCTGTAATTTTTTGTTACCTTCGGGCCAACCAAGGATGTTCAACCAGAAACCAGAATTTCCAAAACAAAACTTCCTTTTTATTTATCGAATATATTAAAATGTGACCTTTTATTAAAAAACGGGGGCTTTTTTTTTTCCTCTTTTTTCTTCAATGAAATATAACTATATTAAGTGTTTGGTTATCAAAATTTCTTTAATAAACAAATGAACTGCATATGTTTAATGTTATATCATTTCTTTCAATAAAATATCAACTGCATTTAGCGTTTGTTATGTATTCTTTATAAACAACAATTGCCTTATACATGTATCTAGTCTGTTATTCATTTATTTATACAGAAAGCATAAGGTCACGGTTATAATAACGTTCTACAGATGTTGTGGTAATCTCTACCAAGGTTATGTTCGTAGAATAAAATACATTTGAAACTAGACCTTTGCCCGTGAGTAACGTTTGGCGAAATTCATGCAAGAGTGTGTGACGCATAGCGCAATAACAAATTCTGAACTGTACTGTTACAAATATAATTTAAATAATGCTAAAGTTTTGTCATATGTACTTTTGCAATCGTGTTCCGACGTGTCCCTAGACCGTTTCATTTAGTTTAAGTTACCTTGTACTTCCGAAGCACGACTGCCCCGACATGACGCAGCCCCAGTGTATTTATAAATCTTCCAGCCATCAGATTGCGTCATATATATTCGATCTTCCGCATGGATACGCGCAAAACAAAAAGTCTGTGCGAAAGTTTATTTTCTTTATAAACAGAAACCTCAAATGAATAAAAAGTATTAATGCAACATAGTTACGGAGTATTATTTAATAATAATACCACTTCTAGTAATAAACATATTTAGGCTTTCGTATTTCCCGTTCAATGCGCTAAGCAAGTTCCTGCCTGTATGCGGGAAAGTTGATTCGGTCAACAAACGTAATGTGTTAAATATTCTAAAGCAACTTTCGTTTTCATTGTAACACTAGGCGCTCCAAAAGTTATGGAATAAAGGTAATTATAACTGTTTCATTCCAAAATTCTTGCTCTTGTTTCTACGTAATTACGACCTGCAACACAAGTTGAACTTGTTTGACCTCCAATGGGTAACGTATTGTTTACATGTTTGACGGCGCTATTTTTCAAATATCTCTGCCTCAAAAGATTTTTCTGTAGCCAGTTTACGTATTCAAAGTAATCCATATAGT